GCACAGGCCTGACTCTCGGCCAGAGCACCAAGACCCTGTTAGCCATGCGGCAGATGAGTGGTTTATTACCGAGGATTTTAAACAAAGGTACCAATAGCCGGATGAAGAGATTCATAGCATTATGTCGAGAACAAAGAAACTTCAATCCTCTTGGGGTTTGGAGCCCAGCATGGTGGCACGTGGACGCATTCTGCTTCACCAACTTGGAAGCTCTCTGAAACCCCTCCTTTTGTATTTTAATGGTGGCTTCACTACACAGCCATGGTTGATTAAATTCTTAGGCATTGGTGACTAATTCCTGAAGATAATTCTTAAAAAGTATAAGGTCTTACCTGATCTCTCACTGCTAGTGTCTAATAAGATTTACCAAATATTTATAGGTGCATGGTGACACTCTCATTGCTATGTGGAGAAAGCAACTTAGAATCCTCTATAAATAACATTTTGAATTTGATTGTCATATATTTTAGAATGTGACTGATTTCCACTTAATGCCCTTTTCAAGTAAATACTTCTAGATAAGCAGCTAACTTAGTTCTGGGCCAATATATTGATTGGCATCCTTAATTAACTAGAATTTCTTTGGGGGCTGTGTTCAGTGTGTAAGAGAAAGGGGCCAAAGGCAAAGCCAGATTAAAAGCCAATATCATTTGTCTTTTTCGAATTCCAGGGAAATTTCAAGGTCATACAGATTCAACCTTAAGCTCTTCTACTTTCTGCATTTGCAGTGTTACATCATGATCACTGCTCTTAATAGGATGACCTCATTCTAACCCCCTCCACAAGAGGTATTACAATATCCTATGTCAAAGAAAGATTCTGTTATTCCAGCAGTTGGTTTACAGAGTTAATTAATGACTATGTCACTCAAGATTGATGGTTTGATTTTTTTTTACTACAAAGGAGACATTATCAGTCAGGGTGCCCTGCACACCCAAACGGAATACCTTGACTACTTTCAAAGGTGTGGGTCGGACTTAGGGAAACCAAGAAAGATGATTCATTACCTCTGTCCATTAATAGTAGAGGATTGGGGGAACAAGGCTACCATCCTAGGCCTGAAGAAGTAAAAGAAGGAGCAGTTATCCTAAGAGACAGTACCTCCATTCCCCGAATCCAACTGGAAGCCACAGCAATCTATAGCATCAGCTTCCCAGGGTTCTGAGCAGCTGCAGAAGGGATCTTGGGTGGAAACAGAAAAAGTGTAACTCAGGAGAGGATGAAATGAAAAGTCAATAAAATCAGTAGTGGTTAGTATCCTAGCAAGCCAAGCTGGATGGTAGCTCTGGGTCTTGTCTTGAGAAAGCAAGAAAGCTAGTATTTATTGAGTACTGTTCCACTTACTACTGCTATATAACATATCAACCTAAATTTAGTATAGTAAAACAACCATCATTTTACTATGCTCCTGGTCAGAAATTTAGACAGGATACAATGGAGATGGTGTGTCTTAGCTTCACAGTGTTTGGCACCTCACCTAGGAAGACCTAGATGGCTAAGAATGACTCAGATTCCTGGGAGCTGGAGTCATCTGTAGCCTTCTGTGCTCAGATGACTGGCACCTGGGCTGGATGGCACACTGGGGACTGTCAACTGGAGCACCTACACCTGGCCTCTCCAAGGGTGTAGGCTTCTTACCCCATGGCAGCGGAGGCTCCTGAGAGTGACAGATCCAAAAGAATCGGGTAGAAGCTGCATGGTCTTTTATGACCTAGCCTCTGAATTCACACAACTTCATTTCTGCATTCAGTCCCAGGCCAGGGTAACTAGACTCCGTGTCGTGATGGAGTAATAACATGGTCATGTTGTAGAAAAACATGCCAGATGAGAGATTACTGTTGCAGCCATCTTTGGAAAATACAGCTTGTCATATTCACATTTACTAAGGCAATATGAACTAATAATTTTGAAATTTTCCGACAACAGTTGCAACAAACTATTTTCCAAGTTAATGGTAAAATTACATTTACCAGAATCCTCTTATTAGCCAGTGTTTTCAATGATTAAACTTTATCTTCCCTTCATGGATTATAGATTTTTAAATGTGGAAGATACTCCCAGAAATCAACTAGCTCAGCATCCTGCCCTTAAACAGTCTGAATGTCATTATTCTCATTTTCCTGCAGTTAGCCAGGTGATGGGTAGAAGGAAAAGTAGACACTAGAACCCAGGACCCTTGGATTTTATTTATTTTATTTATTTAACCAGAATTTGATAAGGAATGAAATTATAGATTAAATTTTACCGAATGAACCCACAAGCATCAAAGTAGAGGCAGAAGCACCTGGCTTCCTATTGTGTTCCTATAACAAGGGAGAAATCAATCTTCTGAGCTGGAGCCCCTCATTGGAGGGTTTGGGCTTAGCTTTGTATCTGTCAAGTGAGAACTCAAGAGCTAGAAGAATAGAAGATTAGTGGTCACCACGACCGTTAATCCCAACAGAAAAACCCTGACGCATTGTTATTAATTTTCCTCCATGCACTTGGCAGTATCTTCCTGGCCCGTCCGTCTGTTCATCTGGCTGCTGGTCCAGCAGATTGACCCATGAAATGTTATTAACTTCCTGGCAGAGACTTTTTATAATGTTCTGTGCCCTCCTACTACTTCTGGAGTCAAGCCCTGAGCATGCTTATCTTTGCTATCCATGCGCAGAAACAAGGCTTTTGGGGGATGTTTCCAACCTCTGAGAGTCACCTGACAGTTGCCTTTTATTTCTGACATCAAGCATTTGCCAGACTACCCAAAGTTTTAATGAAACTTCTAAGAGCTAAGCTTTTTCTTTTTTCTCTTTTATGATGGCAGATACATGTCAGCTTTTCTGGCTTCAACCATTTTGGTCTCCACTCCACTCATATTGTCTAAGACTTCTCTGTAGGTGTTCATGTCTTTCCAGACAATGACTCACTCATTGTGCCATGAAAGTTTCTTTCATAATGTTGCTTCCAGCTGTTTGTAGTGCTTTATTTATATGACAAAAGAAAAAGAACACGTAGTCTATCAGTTGAGAAAGCCTGAGTGGTTGAAAGGTTACCTATCTCTTTACAAGAATAAAATAGCATTAATTTAACAGTAAAATATTGTTGATTTATTTTAAAGGCTTCACTTACTGTTCTGCAACTCCCTCTGACATTTTTAAATGGTGAGATGCAGTGTCTGGCACCTGAGTATGCAGCCAGCCCGGGATACTGGAGGAATCCGCGTGAGGGAGTGTGAGGCAGTAGGTGGTAGGGGAGCCGCCCCAGTTCGGGTCCCACCAGCCTTGTGGTTGCGGGGAAGCCCCTCCAGGTCATGGGCGCTAAAGTGAGGAGGTGACTAGCTTATTGGTGCACTCGTGGCCTTTCCAATTCTGGGCTTCACCAGTGAGCCTACTCGAGGCCTGGATGCACGGAGAACTCAGGGCGCCCTGCTCCGTGCAGACTGATGGCTCCATCCCCGGGGCCTCCGTCTTCAGTCTTCTCACCCAGCCTTGCACATTTCACATGGAAAGAAGCATTAGCCCTCTCGGGAGAGCTGATTACTCTCTTTTCCACTGCCCTTTACCTCCTAGTCCGTGAGGTTCTGGCCACTCCTCTGCGTTCTCTTGCTAATGATGTCCTAGCTGCTAGCAAAGCCACTGGTCCTTTCTTCTCCCTTCTCAACCTATGTGACTTCATTGTGCCTCCGTTTCCTCATCTAATAGCAGTAATGATAGTGTTGACTTCATTGAGTTGTTGTGAGGTTTCAGTCATTGTATATCATGGTGGATAATAGGTACTACATTACACACACGCACACACACACACACACACACACACACACATATATGTATATATATTTGTCTGGGACATATATAGGTAGTCACACACACACATACACATACACAATTTTGAATAGTGCCCTGGGCAAGGCAAGCACCACATGTGTTAACTATTGTTATATATCCAAAGTCAAATCCAGCCCACACATGTGCTTTGTTTGCCTGTGGACCTGGCCATTCCCGTGTGCTTCTCTTACTTACTTACTTACCAACCCGATTTCAGAAAGCAGCAGTATTATCAATCCCTGCTATCAAAACCCTCTACTTTAAAAAACATCACCTCTCAAACTTCACAACATTATTTTGAATTTTATTCCTGTCTTTCAGAGTTCATAAACTCCAACTAATATAAAGCTCCCAACTCCTCCATTCCTTCATTAAAATAGTAACGTATGATTATGTTATAACAACTGGTGATGATATCTGCTTTCACTATATAATATATGTATATATATTTGTCTGGGACATATATAGGTAGTCACACACACACATACACATACACAATTTTGAATAGTGCCCTGGGCAAGGCAAGCACCACATGTGTTAACTATTGTTATATATCCAAAGTCAAATCCAGCCCACACATGTGCTTTGTTTGCCTGTGGACCTGGCCATTCCCGTGTGCTTCTCTTACTTACTTACTTACCAACCCGATTTCAGAAAGCAGCAGTATTATCAATCCCTGCTATCAAAACCCTCTACTTTAAAAAACATCACCTCTCAAACTTCACAACATTATTTTGAATTTTATTCCTGTCTTTCAGAGTTCATAAACTCCAACTAATATAAAGCTCCCAACTCCTCCATTCCTTCATTAAAATAGTAACGTATGATTATGTTATAACAACTGGTGATGATATCTGCTTTCACTATATAAATCTCACCTTGTTTTTTTCTGGTTTTTTTTTTTGGCCTATGTGTGTTAGTCTTGTCTCCACAGCTAGATCGTAATCTTTATATTAGACTATATATTAATCTGCCTATATTATCTGTGGTCCTGCCTAAGCAAGATCTTTTCCACCCATTGCCTCCTGCAGCATGAGTAGAGAGAATAAGAGGTCCCCATTCCTCAACCCTACTTTAAAACCAAATACTTTATGGACAACCTTCCCATCAGCTATAGGCATGACCAGGGGCCTCACCTAACGCTGAGAATGTAGGCTCGGGATTTAATATATGTGAACCGTTCTGCCCGACCCCCAGGTATACGCCGCCAGACTGCCCATTGCGTGAAGAAGGGTCACGGGATGGTGAAAGCTACCTTCTGTGACCCAGAAACACAACCCAATGGGAGACAGAAGAAGTGCCATGAAAAGGATTGTCCACCCAGGTAAGTGTCGGGAACAGCTGGAGATCCGTGTGTCTGCCTGCAGTGGTGGCTGGTGCAACAGTAATCCAGGGCTCGGTGCTGCAAGAGGGCTGTGTGGCTTTGTTATTAGAATAAATACAGGAAAGCCGTCACAGGTTTCTGTGGCTATGCTGTTGGAACCTGTGACAAGCTGTGAAGGGGACATTTTCTCCCCAGAGAGCAGTAATTCTTACAAAGCTTGTGTGATCTGCGTTTAATAATTTGGTAAGACCTAAGTCCCAAAGTGCTGTTGAAGAGAATGGTATGTAAATCATCCAAAAATTCTTTAGCTAATTGGGCTTGGCTTTTCCAAGAGCACTTACCAACCAACAGAATCTTCTAGATAACATGCTGACACCTTCAGGTCACTGTCTGGAAGAGTGGACTTACAGACCAGGCTTTGTCCACCTCAGCACTGCTGCATTTGGGGCTGGATAATTCTTTGTTGTAGGGGGCTGTCCTGTGCATTGCAGAATGTTTAGCAACATCCCTGGCCTGTGTCTATTTAGATGTTTGTAGCATTCCATCTTCCCCACCCAGGTTGTGAGAACCATAAATGTCTCCAAACATTTTTTGCTAAATGCCTCCTGGGGGCACAATCACCCTTGGTTGAGAACCACTGTTATACAGGTATTCACTTGCTCCTGATCGTATTGTTTCAAGATTCTAGAAGGTAGCTGGGATGTTAGCTGGGGAAGAGGAAGAAAGAGAGAGAGAGAGAGAGAAAGGAAAGAGAGAGGAAAGGAAAGAAAGAATTAATTCTGGGGAGTGTCTTCATTCTCTCTTGTCCTTAAACAGGGATGTAGTTTGGTTGCACATTCCATCAGGCATTCATTCCAGTCCCATGAAGACATATTAAGAAGAGTTTAGTTTAACAGGAGGGAGCCAGTTGGTATAATCAATCTACCAAGTGACAGGCTGAATTCTAAGAAGAGCTAGAAGAATGGGATAAATGCCAGAGAACTAGGTCAAAAAGAAGAGTCTAGACAAGTCAGTTAAGTCAAACAGTGTCAGTCTCTTATAGGCTCGAACAGCGAGGTCCCAGAGGCCAGGGAGTTCTCATCTCAGAGTCAGGTTGATTCTCTATCCAGTTCTGTGGTTTCTTCCAGGTACAAAGAGGGCTGTGAGGTCCAGAGCTGGACCCCACCTCCACTGAGGCAGGACAGAGGTGCTGCTGTCCCCTCACCTCGCTGCTGCTCTTCCCTGTAACTCTCTTGCTGGGAAGAACTAGGGACTTGAGCACAGGATTTGGCCCCTCTAGGTTTTGTATGTAATCACAGTTTCTATAAATCCTTCTTAGGGAAGAACGAGCCAGGAAAGAGGAACGTTTCTTACCACTAGCTTTATCTGATCAATAGCCTACCAGCCGCAGAGCTTATGGGCTTCCAGCATACTTATTCTCCCTCAGGGTTAACGACTGTCGTCAGTCACTTCCTTTTGCCCTCACTAGCTGACTACCAGTACATACACGCCTGGGATTCTCACCTCACTTTCAAAGCCACCCTCCCTGGTGAGTGGCTACCTTTTTAAAACCACAGCTGTTTATTTCTTGAAGCTAATTTTATCCCTGGGGTTCAGGTTCTCATTTTTATTATTTTACTTAGTCTGCCTGGGCCTTAATATTACCAGCAAATATTTGTTAAGCATTCATTATTTTCCATGAGAGATACGACAGTGATAATAACCATATTGAGCACTGTGATATTGTGATATAATAAGAGATATGGGGCTTCCCTGGTGGCACAGTGGTTGAGAGTCCGCCCGCCAATGCAGGGGACATGGGTTCGTGCTCCGGTCTGGGAAGATCCCACATGCTGCGGAGTGGCTGGGCCCGTGAGCCATGGCCGGTGAGCCTGCGCGACCGGAGCCTGTGCTCCACAGCGGGAGAGGCCACCAGTCAGAGGCCCGTGTACCACAAAAAATAATAATAATAATAAGAGACATGTGTCTGGGTACCTGGTTCCAGGCAGAGCTCCTAATACTCAAGGCTAACTAGCTCTAAGCCTGCAGCAGGTCGACGTACAGCAGACTCCTCAAAGAGGCATGCACCTTACTCCTTTCTCAATCTGTCTGAGGAAAAGCAAGCACTCTGCTAGGGGTGGTGGGCACCAGAAGATTTTGATGCGGGCACTCACCTGCTGGGGCCAAGGTATAGCTGGGGATATTAGCCGTGTCCATAAAAGCAACATGGTCAGGGCTTCCCTGGTGGCGCAGTGCTTGAGAGTCCGCCTGCCGATGCAGGAGACGCGGGTTCGTGCCCCGTTTCGGGAGGATCCCACATGCCGCGGAGCGGCTGGGCCCGTGAGCCATGGCCGCTGAGCCTGCGCGTCCGGAGCCTGTGCTCCGCAAATGGGAGAGGCCACGACAGTGAGAGGCCCGCATAACGCAAGAAAAAAAAAAAAAAAAAAAAAAAGGAAAAGCAACATGGTCAGAGAATATTGTGGATTGAAGATTGTAGCAGCTCTCTATTTTAGAAGAGACATCAGTTGGTATCTGACATTTTCTTATTCACCTGTAGCTAAAATCTTGGCTTCACTATTTTCAGAATTCAGTTGCCACAGGGTGGTTATCTTTACATACCACTGCACTCTAATTACAGAACTTTCTAGTTAAGGTGACTCTATAATAAGATACAACCAGTGCTAGGGACTTCCCTGGTGGCTCAGTGGTTAAGAAGCCACCTGCCAATGCAGGGTACACAGGTTCGAGCCCTGGCCTGGGAAGATCCCCCATGCCGCGGAGCAACTAAGCCCGTGCGCCACAACTACTGAAGCCCATGTGCCTAGAGCCCATGCTCCGCAACAAGAGAATCCACCACAATGAGAAGCCCATGCACTGCAACGAAGAGTAGCCCCCGTTCGCTGCAACTGGAGAAAGCCCACGCACAACAATGAAGACCCAATGCAGCCATAAATAAATAAATTTATTTAAAAAAAAAAAAAGATACAACCAGCGCTAGAAGGAGACAGATACTGGGGCAAGAATCAAGAGGCTGGCAGACAGGAGATGAGCGGAGGCTGAAGCCTGGTAGACACAGAGGAGGAGCCTTGATAGAGGAATTCTTAAGTGATACAGGCTGAGCTCTGGGGACTTGAAGTTGGCCCTGAGTGTAGTCATATGGTGGCTAAAAACTAACCCCCAAGATATCCACATCCTGGTCCCTAGAACCTGCAAGTGCTACCTTATTTAGAAAAAGGGTCTTTGCAGGTGTGATTAAGTTAAAGGGTCTTGAAATGAGATTATTCTGGATTACCCACTTGGGCCCTAAATTCCATCACAGTGTCCTTAGAGGAGAGTCAGAGGGAACTTCCTCTCTCTCTCTCTCTCTCTCTCTCTCTCTCTCTCTCTCTCTCTCTCTCACACACACACACACACACACACACACACACACACACACACATGAGAAACAATACGAAGTTGGAGCAGAAGGATTTGAAGACACTGTGGCCTAAAGATTGCAGTGATGGGCCACAAGCCAGGGAGTGCTGGCGGCCAACAGAGATTGAAGAGACAAGGAAGGGATCTTCCCTAGAGCCTTCGAAGGGAGTACAGCCCTGCCAAAACCTTGACTTCATCCCGCAAGTCTGGCCTCCAGAACTATAAGAAACTAGATTTCTGTTGTTTTCAGCCACCAGGTTGGTGATGATTTGTTATAGCAGCCCTAGGAAACTAACACAGGCAGCATACTAATTAATGTAAGCATAATGTAAAAGCAGGGGGAGAGCAGAGGCAATCCTTCCACCAAGTCACAGAAGTACCAAAACTTGGAAAACCATGTGACTAGGGTTTCCTCAGAGCATGTGGCAAAGGATTTTCTGAAGTAACACAAATATGTCACTTCCTAAGGAAGCTAACAGCCAGGAGGGCTATGTGAGATACACGTATACCAGCAAGATGGAGCTGTTGCTGTCAGGGCTGGGACCAGCAGGCAGGCACCTGGATGCCTTCCTAACGCCTTCCCTCCTTGCTGTCTATGGTCCCTGTCCTCCCTGGGGCTTTGTGGTTACCTCACATCTCTTTATCTCTCAGTTCTAAGAGCGGCATTGTTAGAACAAGGTAAACAATACTTTGGGTTTTTGTTTTCCTGGAAGGTTTCCTAAGCTGAGTGCATGGATGCAGTTTGTTGATTCAGAGCAAAATTTTGGAATGGACCAATTACACAACCCCTTCCCACAAAATCAGTAATGAAGCCCCGGCAGTTAGAATGGAAGTGCTGATGGCCGCAAATACCTGGAACCAGGTTACCAGGCAGTCACTGCAGTGTCCCAATCAGCACAAATGTGACATCCGGTGCCCAGGTTTTCTTGGTGAGCTGGTGATCATTTTTGCAGCTGCTGCTTCTGCCATTCTACACCACTATACTTCAAGGGAGGAAAACAATCCATCCTATTTCCAGTTTCTGCTGTTGTGTTGGAAACATAATTTCCTCCGATTCCCTCTAAACAATTTGAAGATTATACTTACGGAAGAAGAAGAGCAAAGCATATGCAATTTGACAAGTCTTTTTAAATCCTTATTGTTTGGTAGCATTTTTTGTTTTGATTTCTCTCTGTCTGGTATCTATTTCTCAAGTTCCGAGTTTCTTGAGTTTCTGTACATGATTAATGCGTGGGCTCCAGCTTGTCATACTTCAAGATCAACAAATTAGCAGATCAAGCCTGAATTTACACAGTTCAGACCTCAGGCTAAAGGCACACCCTTCAGAGAGGGATATTAATGATCCCAATAGTGGTGGTGTTTTTTTTTTTAAATTTTATAATTAATTTATTTTTATTATTATATTTTTATTTTTGGCTGTGTTGGGTCTTCATTGCTGTGCATGGGCTACTCTTTGTTGCAGTGCGTGGGCTTCTCGTTGCAGTGGCTTCCCTTGTTGCGGAGCACGGGCTCTAGGCACGCGGTCTTCATAGTCGTGGCATGTGGGCTCAGTAGTTGTGGCTCACGGGCTTCAGAGCACAGAATTAGTAGTTGTGGCACACGGG